ATCCTGTGAGCGAAGTTCTATCTTCCTTTCGATAATTTGCAACTTTGACTTGCAGAAATTCATAGGCAAAGATTCGAAGTTTTGAATTTAGTCGGGGATTGCATACTTGTAGTTTATTGTACTTGTGAATTAATACTTGTCCAGAATCACTTGTAGACCCTAGCAAGTGGCTTCGAACAGCTCTCCTGGCTAACAAACCCAAACTAAAAAGGCCAAAACCGACTTAAGTAATTGAGGTTTTAAGGAAGTGTTTCAGTGAACGCAATGAAACTTGTGAACTTCAGGCCAAAGAGCGTTGTGCCAAGTGGTATATAACGTGTCATAATGGACGAGAGTCGAGGATGGATTGCTCGAGTGGTTTATATTTCAATGCCGAAACATCAGAATGTGATTTCAAAGAGAATGTATTGTCATGTAGAAGTGAGTTGTGTTAACAGAGCCATTGAAGAAGACATTCATTCTTCGCTAATTTCAGATCCTTTCGACTGTGCGAATCGTAAGAACGGTGCGTATGCAGATGGTTGTTCCACTGTATTTTGGTATTGCTCAGAGGGTTCTGTTTCGTTGTCGAGGTGTCCTCGAGGAACGTACTTCGATGTTGAATTGCTGAAGGTGACTTTTTCGGGTTGATTTCAGTAGCTGGGCAACTTGTGGACGATCACCTGGGTACATGATAGAATGGCGATACTTTTGTTCATATCAATTACCCAACCTACAATTCCACTTCCGTCATACACTTTTCAGTCGACGTAAATTCGTGTTTCTGATTCAGAAAGTTGGGATTCGTAAATTCACAGAAACAGGTTGTGAATGCTTTTACTAAGAACTAAAAATGGACTGCGATATTTCTCCTACTACTCGCGAACATCTCTTGAGTTTCTTCCATCACGATTTGAATTGCTTCATTGTCCGTGCCATTTCAGTGTGACTACAAAGAAGCTGTACCTGCTTGTGGAGGTGTGCGATCATCTTCATCGCAATCATCGCGTCTTGCGGCTGACGCAAGTCCTGGGATGCCAAAGCAAGACCGCGTTTTTCAGACAACTGCTACGTGAGTGCATCCAATCAAAATGATAATTATTTGTATCACGCTTTCCCTTTTTAGCATTATTCAATATCGTTCTAATCAGTACAATTATTGTTCTAATTATTTAAGAGCGGATTCGTCAAAAGGCCAAGATACGATAGAATGTGGGCAAGACGGCATAATTGCTATGGGTGATTGTAGTGATAAATTCTGGATGTGTTCGAATGGTATCGCAGTGAAAGAATCGTGTCCTAAAAATTTGTTCTTCAACGTGAAAACGAAGGAATGCGATTATCCCGAGAATATAGAGATGTGCGCCAGGTA